CAGTAGAAGGAGTCTATGTTCCTCACCCAAATTGACTTCATTTCCATTTCCTATCAGTAACTATGTGTCTAGGGGCTGTTGCCTGGGGACACCTCGTCACCAAAATACTGTTTGGGGTCAGTGGGGACGGGGACAGACCCCAGTGCTTCTCCACGCCCAGTTCCCCACAGCAGGGCTGGAGGACCCCATTAGTCAGGTAAGTACAGGTCTACTTGTGCTTACTTACGAATCAGTAGTGAACAATTGCACAACTGAACAAATCAAGTTTCACATTGAACAATCAAAGCTGTGATGAAGAGCCTACCGGTTGGTGCGTCAGTCCACGTTTAGCAGGGGTGGTAAATTTGAAACGCAGCTTGGATTCTGTCCGGGGCACTGTAGCCTTGGGAGACACAGATGCTACCTGTACCTTTGATGTGATGAAAAATATGAAACTGATCACTACAGATTAGCAAGTAAGCACAAGGAAGCCTGTGCCTACCTTAATTATTGGGTAATCCAACATTGCCCACAGATCTGAAAGAAGACTCTGGACTTTTTGAGGAAAGGGAGAGGTTTGCTTTGCCTGGAACAGGTTGGGGACGCAGGGGCAGGAGATGAGAGATACAGACCAGAGAAGCTTCCATGTCCCCACCTCAGGTCCCTTTGAGCTTGTCTGAACCAAGCTCCTGTAGCCCCCCACCCAGGATTGGGAAGGTCCTTGTCATCTCAGTCCGTGTCTGGTGGGAAGGACTGAAAGGTAAGGAAGAGATCGCGGAGTCCGGTCCTTGCACCCCCACACCGCAGAACCACAGGAAACCCGGGACTTGCAGAGCCAGAGCCAGAATCCCAGCCCTCTCCCCAGGCCTCCAGGAGCGTGGGGCCGAAACACCGCCCAGCTGGGTTCGGAGTGCCACCGCGGGCCCCGCAGCCAACCAAGGAGCGCGATACACGCAGATCCCCAGCCCGACAGCCAATCCGGCGTGGCCCGGCCCACATCCATCTGCGCATGCGGTCCCTGGGGCCAAGACAGGCAGAAGGGAGGCTCCTAGGGGGTTTCAGACTTGGGGACCTGGACGCGGTGTAGGTAGCCACGCGCTGGACAGGGGCGGGAGGATACTCACTGAGGAACCCTTTGAGCACCTGGTGAAGCTAGCTGTGAGGGGCGGGGAATCCCAGAATGGGCGTCCCGTGGGCAGGGCGGGCTCCAAGGGTTGTGGCCAGTGTTCAGCTGTGCTGTCTCCGCCTTACAGTCTTCCTGCGTTTATCCTTGAATTGTGTTGTATCCTGAAGTCTCATCCTAGCTCATGAGGGTGCGCCCTCACCCCCAGCCGTGCTCAAGGTGAGTCTGCACTCCCCCCACTAGAATTCTCATGCCCTTGGGTCGAAGGAGTAAGTAAAACTCTCAAAACTGACTTCCGTGGGCTTGATTCCGACTCACAGCAACCCTGTGTAGGGTTTCTGAGGCCGTGAATCTTCACAGAAGGAGAAAACCTCATCTTTCTCCCTATAAGCTACTGGTGGCTTTTGGTTTCTGAGCTTGTAGGTTAGCAATCCAGTGCTTATCCGACACCACCACCAGGCCTCCCCGAGACTTTACTAAATAGCAAAATTACCATGAAGAGAGAGAGAGCGAGAGACCCCAGTAGAATGGAAAGTTCTGTCTCCTGCTTTCTGAGCAAGGGCCTCCATCTTTTCATTGGTATTAGGACCCCAAATCAGCTTGCTGGCCCTACCTAGGGCGAGCTTCAGACTTGGTCATGGGCCAAACTCTGTACCCGACCCTGCCCCCAGACCAACCTATGTGCACAGCTTTGTGACTCTGCTGTGGGCGCATTCATTCCCGGAGCTCCCCAAGACCGAATGGGCAAGCAGAAGGAGCTGTTGGCAAAGCTGGTGGTTGTGTGGTGCCCTCCTCGTGAGCAGGGCCCCAGGGATCACCCCGGTACCCTGTCACCCCAGTTCTTTTCATGACAAACTTCAGCTTTCCTTCACAGGCTTCTCTTCAGGCTACCTGGTATCCCTGGTCTCTCCTGGTCACCTGTGGTCCCCTTCAGGGTGGTAGGGCAGGGACTCTGAAATACAGATGGCAGAGGGAAGCACATCACAGGCCAGTTGTGGTGATGCCTCAGTGCCGGCTACAGGGGAGGGTCAGCCTCGGTGGGGCTTGCTGGGCAGCGGCCCATAGTGCTGGATCCAGGGCCCATAGGTTTAGACAGGAGCATACACTCCCAGGGAGACCAGGCTCCGCACAGCCTCGGCTGAAGCTCACTAGTGCCACCTGTACCCAGCGGCTGTACTTGAGCTGGCAGATTAAGGGGCCCCCAAAGTCACCCTGTGAGACACAAGCCTAAGAATGAGTTCTGGCTGGAGTTGGGGCAGGGGAAGATACATGCGGGTCACGTGTCCTTTGGACCCCCCAGGTAGCCAGGTGTGGTGACCCAAGCAGAGTTCAGATCTGAGGTTCAGGTTCAGGCTACTGGCACTGCTCTTCCTCTCAGCAACCCTTTACAGTAGCTTCGTCGGCCTCCTTTTTGTTTGGAACCATTGTGGACTCTGAGGCTTAAAGCACCAGGTAACAGCTAGTAAATGTCAGCATGGGGACTCAGGCACTTTCTGAAATTTTTATTCAAAAAGATAACTGCTTTTTCCAGCTCCATATGCCCCCCTTACAGGCTGGCAGTACACAATGTCCGTGTGCCGGGACGAGCTGCCTCTTTGTGCCCGTTTGTGTATTTGTCAGCCACTCTGGCCCTGATTCTGTTGGACTCCTGGTGGGGTGCTGTAGGCTCAGCACTAAACTGAATGGCAAACAGGGATGGCAGTTCAAACCCACTAGCTGCTCCTCAGAAACCCTAGACAGGGTCGCTATGAGTCAGAACTGAGTCGACAGCACTTAGCTACAACAACCATCCCATCGAGTGTTGTAAAGAGACGCAGAGAAGCTGTGATGATGGAGTTGTGTAGTAGACACGAGCCAAGGCCTGTCGGGAACCACTGGAAGCTGAAAGAGGAAGGACAGGCAGCGCACCTAGAGCCTCCAGATGGAGTATGGGTCCTGCTAACATCTGGATTTGGACGTCTGCTTTCAAAAGATGAGAGAAATGTTTCTGATGGTTTAAGCCTTCACCCAGTTTCTGATGCTCTGTAGGGGAAGCTGAGACTCTAGGTGGCCCACAGTGAGTCTGAGTGGCCACTGTGTAGGGACTGACCTCACAGAAGCCCTTCTCGCCTTTGAAGTAGCTGGCATACAGCATCTCTGAGGTGATGGGCTCTGAGTCATAGAGCTGTTGGCAGCTCTTCTGGTCAATGATGCACACGTCCACCTCCTGCAGCAGGTCGGGGTTGGGCAGAGCCACTGTGGGCACAGTGGTGGTCAGCGGGGCCTGGTAAGGCTTGGGGTCCTCCGCAGTGGTCTTGGGTTGAAGGTGGGGGCAGTGATGAGACCGGTTCCCCAAGATGTGCCCTGGGGCTGAGGTGAGGCTAGCCCTCTCACTGCCATCCAGGCTTCCTGAAGTGAGTCATCCTGGGAACAGAATGGCCTGCCCAGCTCTAGCCCCTCACTCCTCACCGTTCTGCCTGATGTCACTCCAGCCAGCCACCCACCCAGCAGAAGGTGCCTTCCGGGATGTGTCTGCTGGACATGGCCAGAGACACAGGCTGGACTGAATGAGAGAAGAGTATGGGGCACGCCAACTTTAGCTGGGCAACGTCCCTGCTCTGGAGGGCATCCCCGTTATAGTAGGGGTGCCAGATGACTTGGGCCACAGGCACCAAGACAGAGCCTGGGGGTGGGGGTGGAGTACAGTCTCACCCAGCTGGACACTCAGATCCTGCAGCTTCTGGAAGCTGAGGAGGAAGCAGGGGACAAAGGACTGTGTGGGTGACAGGGACATTCAGCCCCCTGAAACCCCAGCTCCATGCAGAGAGTACCCGGCTTCTGAAGGTGGAAAGTCATGCTGGCAGGGCCAGAGTGGACAGGCCATGCCCTCCCCTTGGGGCAGCATAGATGAATAAGGGCTAGCCAAGCCTGCAGTTGGGGGTCCTGGGGTCCTGGCTGTGGCTATCAGCAGGGAGGGGCTCACCTGGACACACAGTGGGCAGCGGTCAGCAACCACTGGGAGCTGAGGAGGCTGCCTCCACAGACATGCTCTCCATCCTCCCGGAAGCTGACCTGCCAGGGCCATTGCATGGGTGAGGCAGCTGTACCTCCGACTATGTGGGCCTCGGGGAGGAGGCTGCTCACTGGTAGACAGACATACAAGGGAGAGTTAGTGGAGCCAACCACCAGGGGCCCCCTGTCTGAAAACAAGGGCCATTGGGCAATACTAAAAGCTGGGTGGGGACCAGATCTAGGGCTATACTCCCTCCTTCCCATCCTGTCACTGGAGCCCAGTGTCCCAACTGTGGACCAGCACTGCCCAAAAGGACTCTTTGCAAAATGAACATGTGTTAGTTTGTGCCTGCCGCGGCAGCTCAATTTCACTGAACTGGAGAGGGGTGGCCTCCCTCCAAGCCCTCTGAGCTGGCCATGGAAACATCTCCATAGCTCCTGGCCCCGAACAGCTATCAGGGATTCCCAGCTTTGGGCCTGGGTCTTAGTTTCTTTGGGAGTTGTACCCAAGGGAGATTCTTGAAAGGGAAGGATGTTGAAAGTTGGGGAAGGGCATGCAGGTATGGCCAACTGTCACCAGCACTCCCCAGACACAGTGTCTCAGCTCAAAGGACAGACTGAATTGGGTTTGGTCACACCGACCTTCCCCTGCCCCTCCCACATCCACAAAGTCCAGGGCTGGGAGGACTCAAGGGGCTGGGAGAGACCTGGAAAGTGTGAGGGTCAGTGTGGCAGCCCCTGAGCCCCTGAGGGATACGCAATATGGACGGAGGGGCTGTGGCCTCTCGGAGTGCAGTGGACAGTCTCCAGCACCTCAGTCTCAGACTCAGCCTTTTCTCCCAGGAAGAGAAGTGTCAGGAGAGGCAGTAGGCACCACCTCTGGGGGAGAGTGTGGGGAGAGGAGTGTGGGCATCACAGGACAGCATAGCGATGTTCTCTTCTGAGGCTGCAGTCACCCACCCACCATGGAGACCCATTGTCCTCCCTGCAACAGAGCCCTGGCCACTGGAGAAGGCCGCATAGCACCACCTAGGAGGCCAGGGGTGTTGCTGCTGTCTACCCCAAATCCCAGGACACAGTGCCTACAACTAGAGAGACCAGCAGACAGAAAGGTGCCTCCCGTCTCTCCGCCACCTGACCCAATGTCTATTGGGGGCACCTACGGTGGGGGCTGGAGATTAAACCAGGGGAGACTCTGTGTTATTCCTGCGTCAGTGTGTATCGCCAGTCCAGTGGCATCTGCCTGCCCTAGCCACTATCTCTGAGGCTGAGAGCCACACTGGCCCTCCCCCATGAACCCCCTCCCCACCCCGCTCTGGCCTCTGGAGGTCCCAGAAGACAGGGGGCAGGGAAAGGAGGCTTGATTCCTGGGGGCAAAAGCAGGAGTCTTGTAGAGGATTGGATTTGGGACCCCTGAGACTTGGAGTCCCCCATTCACCAAGGTAGACTTTGCATTGCTTCTTGACACTGACCCCCTCCCACTCTCTAGCCCCCCACCCCACTGTGAAAGTGGAAAGAAAGAGGAGCTGTATGTGTGGCCCTGCCTGGCAGCTGGCTGGCTGGTCCTATCCTGGCCCCAGGTCTGGCCCTCCCTGGTCTCCACCCCATACTCAGGGTGTTCTGGCCCTGGGCCACTCAACAGTAAGAAAGCCCTGAGGATGGAGGTGCAGTGAAGGTCACCGTCAGCAATAACACAGAGTACCAGGCAAAGCAGATCCAGGGCAGAGCTCCAAAACTCAGAACCACAGAGATAGGAATATTTTAAAGGTTTGAAGGCTCATAGCTTGTGAAGTTTGGAGCTGAAGTAAAAAATCGCATGCTTTTGAATCTGCTGGGCCAGGCTCGGAGGCCCGAGCTGACATCCTGGGCGAGACCAAGCAGCAAGACGCAACAGGGGGAGCAGAAACACCACGGAAAAACTCCAAGGGAACCTTGGGACAAAGGTGGACAATATACTTTGTCAGGCTTGCTTTGTTCTGATTTTGTTTTTTTCTTTGGTAGATGGTAATTGTCATGCTCACTGTTTGCCCACCTCCATTCTGGTGAATAGAGGGAGAGCCTAAGCCAAGTGGCCATCCCCCACCCTCACTGCTGGTGGGTTCTTCTGCCACACATGCACACAGATACTCAGCCCAAGTGGAGGCCCTGAACTTTTATTATCTGTTTCCTTTTGTTCTGTTTTTTATCACAGGAAAGAGTAGGAGAGGGCTGAAGGGAGAGAAAGAGAGACAAAGGTTGGATTGGAGCCTGAGACACAGCATAACAACCAACACTGGCAACTTGGAATCTCTCAGGCAGCTTTGAAGACAGGAATTTAGGACATTAAAGCCATACTCATATTAAGCTACAGACTTTTTTCCCCCTTCTTTTTCTTCTCTCCCTCCTCTCCCTTTTCTGTGATTAGAGACTGCAGTATTCAGTCTGGTTTTTGTGGGTGCTGCTTTTTTTATTTTATTTTATTTCTCTCTCATTTTCCCCCCACTGGTGTTATTTTGCTGTTATATGCCCCCCTTCTGCCTTTGGAGGACTCTGTCTGCCTATACTACACAAGAAGAGTCAGCAACTGCTGCCATATAGCCAAGCTACAATCACACTCTATAAAACACCAAAACCCAGGCTAGAACCAATACCAGCTGCCATATACCAGGGAAACAGACAACACCTGTGAAAGTTACTCTGAGTTAAGCAATAAGCAGAGTGAAAAGGGAAGCCCACATCCTGATCACATCTTCCTGGAAGCAATCAGAAAACATAAAAAATTACCAAGACACGTACTCAAGTATTAAGGCCACAGATAAACATTAAGCATGTCCAAGAAGCAAAAGCAGATGACCATATCAGCACATGTCCAGAAACAAGATAAAATGTCTGAGACAAATGACCTAGAAGTAGACCTGGACTCCATTCTGGAAGGAGGGCAGGCCTTGGAAATGCCTGAGAAAGAATTCAGAAAAATTATTATAAAATGTTTCAAAACACTCTACAATGGAGTTGAGAAAAATAAGGAAGAAGTTAGGAAAGTGCTACAGGAACCAATCAAATAAGATAGATACAGCATTGGAAACAATTCAGAACCTACAGAAAGAGGTCCAAACGATCAATAACAAAATAACAGAATTAGAGAATACTCTGAAAGGAGAGAGGAGTAGAATAGAAGAGATGGAAGGCAGAACCAGTGAGCTGGAAGACAAATCTCTCAATACCACTAAGATAGAAGAACAGACACATAAAAGGATAAAAAATTCTGAGGAAGGTGTTGGACAAAATGAAGAGGAATAACTTAAGAATTATCGGCATTCCAGAACAAGAAGAATCACACAAGTCCACAGAGGAAATAGTTGAAGAACTTCCTGAAGTACATTTCTCTAACGTCCTGAAAAGTGAAAAGATAAACATTCAAGAAGCTCAGTGAACTCCAGGAAGGGTAGACCCCAAAAGAAAATCACCAAGACATATCATAGTCAAGCTCTCCAAACTCAAAGATAAGGAGACACTTCTGAAAGCAGCCAGGGAAAACAGAAGTGTCACATAACAAAGGCAAGCAAGTCAGATTAAGCTCGGATCTCTCAGCAGAAACCATGCAAGCGAGAAGGCAATGGGGAGACATATATAAAACCTTGAGAGAAAAAAAATTGCCAACCAAGAATCCTTTATCCAGCAAAGCTGCAGGGGGTTCCTGCCCTCCGCGGGGGCGTGGGACATGAGTGAATACGCGGAAACGTCGGGTGAAGAAATGAATGAATACAATCGAGAGGCTTTTCAACTTGTTGCTGTCCGGCTATGCTGTCTAGCTTCTGCCCTTGCTTCTGCTTCCTGTTCTCTTTGCTGTCTGCCCTCTGCTCTCTGCTGTCTGTTCTCTGCCGTCTCCCTCCTGCTCTCTTCTTCTTCTCCTAGCTCTGCTCTACCTCTACCTCCTCCTGCCCCTTCTGCTTCCTTCTCCTTTCTTCTTCCTTCTGCTTCTTTCTGCCTGCTCAGATCAGCAAGTCTTTATTTTTTATACTTAAAATTACACAGTACATGCATTGACACTTTGATCAGTTCTTGAATTATTACACAGTTAGTCACAACAGTCTTGCACCTGGTCATTAGTCAACCTTGACAAAAATACTTCTATGATGTTCAGACTGACCTTCATGTTCTTTCCCAGTATGAGATAAAACTGTTTCTTCTTGTTTCTACTAAAAGACTATAAACTTCTATCCTACATAATGTGCTATTATTTTTATAATAAAGGTATTCATTAAATCACTTGGAAGCTATGTGGCATAAAGCCCAACCTGGCTACTTGCTGCAAGAAGTGTAGATTATTAAGTCAAAA